CTTCGGTGATCGTACGAGATGAAATAAGCCCCAGTTAGAAATACATTCATGTCGAGTAACCGATTCTGCTCAGACTTTCTCTGATTGATGTTGTTTACAGTTATGTAGAAGTGACTCCTAAGTCACCCTGGCTGCCCCATCCTTTAAATTACAATAACAAAAAGAACCCTTTCGACACATTACCTTATGTTGCTTCGCCAGCTACTTCCGTTCATGAACAGAGATACACACTATATCAGCCACAAAGCGAGAGGGTAACCGTTTATGGTCAGGCAATTGACAAGCAAATCTGTGGTACTGAACGAAAGATTTACTGTAGCCTATCTTAATTCACTTAGGCAAAATATTTACATGTTAAAATGTCCAATTAGTTACGGTCAAAAGCCAAAGAGTGCCACTCCTGATGTAACATCAAGGTATTTATTATTATTATTATTATTATCATTTTTATTATTATTATTATTATTTTTATTATTATTATTATTATTATTATTATTAATATTATTATCATTTTTATTATTATTATTAATATTATTATCATTTTTATTATTATTATTAATATTATTATCATTTTTATTATTATTTATTATTATTATTATCATTTTTATTATCATTATTATTATTTTTATTATTATTATTATTATTATTATTATTAATATTATTATCATTTTTATTATTATTATTAATATTATTATCATTTTTATTATCATTATTATTATTATTATCATTTTTATTATTATTATTATTATTTTTATTATTATTATTATTATTATCATCATCATCATTCGATTTCTGCTATGGACACACTACCTACCAAGTCTGCGGAAAGACCTAAGGCAGGTCGTGGTGTGTTGTTATAATACATTTCATGTTAATTTTTTTTTTTTTTTTTTTTTATCTCCGATGAAGTTGCTAGCGTTACATAGACAAAGTTCTCCTTAGTGTGTGTGCTGTACTTAATAAGACAATTTTCTGTATGTCTCTTAAGCTGGGGTTTCCAGGGATTCTTTCAATGTGTTGTTTTGTTCCATTTTTTTATAATTCCAAGTGTACCTATTACCACTGGTATTATTCTTGTTTTCAATTTCCACATTTTTTCTATTTCAATTTCCAGGTCTTTGTATTTTGATAGTTTTTCAAATTCCTTGGTTGCTATGTTACAATCCGCTGGACAAGCCATATCAATTAGTAGGCAAGTTTTTTCTTTCTGGTTTTTGACAATGATGTCCGGCCTATTTGCTTCAATTTTTCTGTCTGTGTGGATGGTATAATCCCATAGAATGGTGACATCTTCTATTTCTGTAACCGGCGCTGGCCGATGTTCATACCAGTGTTTGCTTACACATTTTCCAAAGTGTTTGCACATTGTCCAGTGTAAGTATTGCCCCCACTCTATCGTGACGATTTTTATATTCATTTGGGGCAAGTATAGAACATCCTGAGATTAGATGGTCTATTGTTTCTTGGTATTTGTCACAGAACCTGCATTTTGGATCCACATTATTATGTATGATATTTGCCTGAAAATTCCTAGTGAAAAGACTCTGGTCTTGCGCTGCAAGAATAAAGCCTTCAGTTTCAGACTTTAATCCAGATGCTCGTAACCATCGATGAGTATTAACTTTATCAACATTGGGTTTATTTGCACGTTCTGGATATTGGCCATGCAGAGGTTTGTCTTGCCAGCGTTGTTTCATCTGTTCAAGGGCTTTATCCTTGGCTTTTTTTTTTCATATCTTTTGCTGCAATAGTTGGTTCTTGGCTTCTGTTTTGATTTACTACAGAATCTACTAAATGTAAATGTTGTTTGTATTTACTGCCTTCTTTTATTATTGAATATTTTTTCTTTCTGTTTTCATGTTGTTTCACTAATTTTATCATCCAGTCATTTGTTGTTTCCATGTAAGTTAGTAAGCCAATAGTTGTTGTCTTGTATGACAATTCTAGCTGAATAAGACCTCTTCCACCTTCTTTACGGGGTATGTATAGACGGTCTACATCAGCCTTTGGATGATGCATCTTATACTTAGAAAGAAGCTTTCTTGTTTTAGAATCCATTTGTCTGATGTCATTTAGAGTCCAGTTCAAGATGTTGAAACTATATTGGACCACTGGGATGGCAAGGTTATTAATGGCCATAATTCTGTTCTGAGAATTCAATTCAGTTTTTAATACCAGTCGTACCCTTCTATAGTACTCTTTACGCACTATTTCTTTCATTTTCTTATGGTGAATTCCTTCACTCTCATTTACACCTAGGTACTTATAAGCTTCTCCTTGTTCTAAATCTTTTATTGTTACAGCAGGGTCTAAACTAATAGAGGAAGTTTGTTGTAGCGATCCTCGTAAAACTATTATTATTATTATTATTGCGATCCTCGTAAAACTATTATTATTATTATTATTATTATTAATATTATTATCATTTTTATTATTATTATTAATATTATTATCATTTTTATTATTATTATTAATATTATTATCATTTTTATTATCATTATTATTATTATTATCATTTTTATTATTATTTATTATTATTATTATCATTTTTATCATTATTATTATTATCATTATTATTATTATTATCCTATTATAAATGTGCTTTTTCTTCCCTTCGTTATTTCAATAACTCATAAATTATGGGCTATTCCGTTTAGATCACGTGGTAAAAAGGGAAAAAACTTGGAGAGAGCGACAGAGAGAATCAGATTAAACCGATAAAGACAAATGCTACATTTTGACTTAAGCGAAAAGGACGAGAAGAGATGGTGACAGTGATAAAAGCGGCATTTTTCAGTAAACCGAGCAAGGCAATCACGAAAAGTCAGGTTTATTTTTAAGTAAAATAACATCGCCTGATGAATTAGTTTAAAATCATTAAAAGAATTGTTCGTAAGACGGGGATTTGGCTCGGTATTAATAACATTATTATTATTATTACTACGCTATCTCTTTGCTAATACATAATTTTAGACGAAGTAATGTTAACGTAAATATGACATAAATAATAAGAGAAATATAAAATTAATACAGAAAATATTTTTTAAATATTTAATTAATTTCCTCATGTATTTTAGATTAGATAAATATTTAAATGAGGATATTATTCGCCGTTTCTTATTAGTCAGAGAATAAAGCCCAAATATTAAACAACATTATTAAGCTAATGAAGATTTTAATTATGACACAGGTGTATATTATTCCGGATCACGTACGGGACAGTAGCCTCGTGTTGATTCGTGAATTTGGTGACATTGTAATTGAGAGTTCAATGCCTGTGTGCACTTTCGAATTCAGTTACCCGGATCCGCATATACCTGATGAAGGCCGAAACGTTGTGATAACAAGAACAAAGATGAGGATAGTAGTTCACATGTAAATGATGTACATTCTTGTGCAAATTAATTGAAGCAAAACGAATAATTGCGTTATTATTATTTTTTTCCGTATTTTTCCATTGAAACATGTGCACATGTTCGTACTTCGTATGTCCATTCCATGAAGTCGTTCCTTGTAGATTGACCACAGATTTTCGATTGGATTTAAATCAGGAGAGATTCCGACCCATTCTATAGTACTTTGATTTGCTCACTGGTAAGGCTTACCAGTGTGTTCGTGCAGCGTTACAATTTTCGTATGCTTCCTTTGAGTAACTGCCATCGCAGAAAATGGCCTTAGGACAAATAATCGACAGTCGAGACAATAGTGTCTGGGCGTGATAAAAATCTGATGCAATCACGGATGACACAATATTTTTCAAGGCCAAACAAATTTCATCATACACCCCGAAAATAGATTCATATGACTGCACACCACTGCAAATGACCAAATTTGAGGGGAAAATAAAATAAAAAAAAAATCGGTCACACTCTGTCACTCCAGAGGGTTTAAAACTGACCGTATGGTGAAAGAAAGGAAACTAAAGCGGTTGTTTCAATTAATTTGCACAAGGATGTAAGTAATCTTTCTGCTATTTCTTCTTTTATTCTTCCGTTCTTTCTTTCTTTCTTTTTCGTCTCTTTCTCTTTCATATCTTTCTTTCCTCTTTGTTCTTATTTATATCTTATTATTACACCCCTTCCTCTTTGTGTTTTCTTTTCCTTCTCCTTTTGCAAAAAGTTAAACCCCTTCACGTAGATATGCGCAGAATCGAGTAAAAACGGGTCTCATCTTTTGAGTCTAAAGTAAATTTGACTTATGTCTATATTTTCTTTTTAAATCTATTGTAAAGCCCATTCTGCTCAGACTTTCATCTACATCTACCCTTTTGAGTCTAGTGTTAGCCACATCTATGTCTACCTTTATGAATCTGATGTAAAACGAACCGAGGTCTATTTTTTTTTTTTTGACTCTAGTGGAAACTGGACCGATGCATATCGATTCGTGTAAGTTACCCGGATTGATATACACTTGATGAAGGCCGGACGGCCCAACGTCCGAAACGTTGTTGTAACATTGTGACGAAAATAGTTCGAATGTAAATAGTGTAAATAATAACTCCCCATCATAGACAGAAATGAAGAAAATTGCTGCTATAGTTGTTACGAAGTGCCATAATTTGTTGAAAGATTAATGAGTTTAACTTGGAGCATTTTTGAGATGATGTTATCGAAAAGTTATCAGACAAAATGGTTGTCATCCTGTCAGCTGTTTGGCGCAATTTCACTGCTTACCACGGGCGTTATTTTTCCGGAGATGCGCTCCTACGACTAAGAACAAGTGAATCAGTTCCTGATGAAAGTTATTCGTTAAGTCGAAGCAGTTTTTTTTTTATTATTACTATAATAATTGATGTTGTTGGCATCTTTATTGCTACATCTTTATTGTTTCATTCATCGCTTCCCGGCTGCTGTCATTATTCTAAATATTTTTTTTATGACCACAATTCCTGACATTGTCATTCATGCATATGATATCGCACTTATTTTGATTCATCAGGGACTTTATTAACATTATTTTTTATGACTCTGCCTCTGTTTTTTCTAGAAATCAAGTGAGGCTTACGGCCATATCAAGTTGAAACACCGATTCTCGTACGATCACCGAAGTTAAGCAACATCGAGCTTGGCCAGTTCCTGGATGAGTGACCGTTCGGGAATGCCAGGTGCTGTAAGTTTGGATGTGCGGGTGGTGTGTAATTCGATGACTGTTCGGAATTGTTAATCGGAGAGCAGAGTTCCGATTGCAGTCGGCTTCGTTATATTCGCTTACACTCGAATAAACTTGGCAAAGGGATTAATCCACCTCTTCTCCCACAAGCTATGGGTTAACTAGTAGTTCTTGTGTTAGTCATTATTATCTCAATAAAACTCTTAAAATCTGAAAATATTTTCTGGCTTTAAATAACTTGCAAATTGTTGATAAGCCGTAAAAAGCAAATCCCTAAATCAATCAAAAAGAAACAAATGATAGCAAACCTTACGGATGACCTGGGTAACTTCTATTTCTTTCTATCTATCTCTCTATCTACTTATCGATCGGTCATTCTAACACAAACACTTAGTACTTATGATGACTACTTGAAAAAATCACAGATTTATCTTCTAATCACTTGTTGTTGAGAATTAAAGACAAAAACATTCGATAAGAAGAAACCAAAATTGCAATCAACAGAACAAGTTCAGCTTTTGTAGTTCTTAGAACGAGATTTCGGGAAAATGTTTCTTTTTTCTAAATTGAATTAAACTAAAAAACCTTTTACAATGTCAATGATACGTGTTTAGTATTTTCGTCTTCTTTTTCTTCTACTTTTTCTACTCAAACTCTAAAACCATCTCTCCACACCTTCTTCTTCTTCTTCTTCTTCTTCCCCTCCCCTTCTATTCTTCTTCTTCTTCTTCTTCTTCTTCTTCTTCTTCTCATACAAATCTTTTTTCTTCTCATATTCTTTTTTCTTCTCTTCCTCTTTCTTCTTTTTCTCAAAAGAAATATTTCTTCCTCTTACTTCCCAACCCTCCTCTTCCTTGTTATTCTTTTTCTTCTCCTCCTCCCCACTTCTTCTTCTTCTCCCCTCTTTCTTCTTCTTCTTCTTCTTCTTCTTCTTCTTCTTCTTCTTCTTCTTCTCATACAAATCTTTTTTCTTCTTCTACTCCTACTTCTTCTTATCATCATCATTATTATTATTATTATTATTATTATTAAGGAAGAGACCAGAACGCTATCAAAGTGACACAAGGGTACGAATATACGTACCCAAATATATCCATAATTACTCCCAGTCTGATAAGAGTATATAGCATACGCATTACAGGCAATATAGTGATAGGTTTCGATAAAAAAAAGAATAAGAAAAAAAAAATAATAACAGCTCATAATCTGACATAATGCTGAAAACGCTAGTTGCTTCTGACTGGGTTTGAATAAATGCGCGTCTGGTCAAACCAGTTGGAGCCGTTGCTACAATGAAGGCATATTTACATATTGCATTTTAAACGTGTCAATAATAAAAAAAAAGGTACACGGATCAAGGCAGATTCTGTGGTCTGTTTTTGTTGATTGATGAAGGGGGAGAAATTAAAAAACTGATTTTGAGCATATCATTGACAAATTTGCACGATTTTATTTCGCACGAATATCCACATTTTTGTTATCACAGTGATTCGGTTTTTGTGCTACCCGGCTGTCATCAGGTGTATATTAACCCGTATAACCCACGGGTCAATAGCCTTGTGTATAAAAGCGTTGAGTCGTGAATTTGGTGACGTAGTAATTGAGAGTTCAATCCCTGTGTGTACTTTCGGATACAGTCCGGTTATTATTAAGGGAGAGATCCGGCACTTTATCAAAGTGACACTAGGGCACGAATATACGTACCCCAATATACGTACCCCAATATACCCATAATGACTCCCAGTCTGATAAGAGTATATCAGGTATATACATTAAAGCCAATGTAGTAACGGGTTTCGATAAAAAAAAAAAAAAAAAAAAAAACAGCTCATAATCTGATATGAGGGACGCATTTAGAAATATCTTCAGGTCGGTTTAGCCTGTCCGATCAAACGTCTTTTCGATTGATTTTATTCCCCAAAATAATAATGCAGCTCGCAAGTCGCGTTGGCTGTCTCATCATTTAAAGTGAAGGAAAAACCCTTCTTGACGCCTGACTCTGATGCCCCCCCCCTGCTCCTGCTCATGACAGAAATACGCACTGCGTCAATCCCGAGGGGACATGCCTAGTTGGTTAAGATGAGGCAACTGAGAAGAGCTCCGTTCTATAGCTTCATCAATTTAGACATTTACGGGACTGTTATGTTTCGTCTACGGAGTCGAATCAGCCACATTCCAATTGAAAGGAGGAAGTCCCATTAAGATAGCTTTTTTTTCCTGAGAACTGCTACATTATGGAACAAACTACTGCGTGGATGCTTCCCAGAAAACTACAACTCTTAAATCCTTCCACTTCCCCTTACATTCATATCACACACCTCATTCAGTAACGCTCTATCACGGGTGGCTCTTGAGTTTTTAATAAGGTGAACTTTAGTATATAAAAAAGAAGCAAGTCTGTGGAACTGAGGAGGTTATTTAATATAGATCATCTTCATTAAGCATTAATAACCGTTAGCACCTCCTGTTAAACGGCATGGAATTCATGCCTGGTGTAGTATCAAGGGATTTATTATTATTATTATTATTATTATTATTATTATTATTATTATTATTATTTCTTTTTGATTTCTGGCGTTGACACATTTTCTTTCCGGGTCCCGCCCAGGGACCTAAGGTTAGAAATGGCATCATGACACTTTCCACTGACAAAAAAAAAAAAAAAAAAAAAAAAAACATAGATAAAGCCCTTCGTAAAATATGGGCTGTACTTGTCAGAACAATTTTTTGTATCTCTTTGAGGCATGGACTTCCAGGAATCCCTTCAATTAGTCTACTGCAATCTTTTCCAACCAGTCCTAGGGCTCCAACTGCAACAGGGATTGTTGATGCCCTCATGTGCCACATTTTTGAGATTTCGATTTCAAGATTATTATTATTATTATTATTATTATTATTATTATTATTATTATTATTATTATTTCTTTTGATTTCTGGTATATACTTATACCTTCCGAGTCCTGCCCAAAGACCGAAGGTCAGAAATGTTATCATGAGATTTTACCAACTTTAACGACCAATTAAAAAACAACAACAAAAACATATTTTATATAGATAAAGCTCTTCGTAACGTGGGGGCTGTACTCGTGAGAACAATTTTTGTATTTCTTTAAGGCATGGGCTACCAGGGATCCCTTCAATGAATCTATTGGAATCTTTTCCAATCGACCCAAGGGCTCCAACTACAACAGGGATTGTTGATGTTCTCATGTGACATATTTTTGAGATTTCGATTTCAAGGTAATTGTATTTTGATAGTTTTTTTTTAATATCTTCAAAGATACATTGCTGTCTGCAGGGACTGCTATATCAATAAGGAGGCAATTTTTTTGTTTGTGGTCTCTAATAATAATGTCTGGGTGGTTGGCTTTGATTGTTCTTTGTTATTATTATTATTATTATTATTATTATTATTATTATTATTTCTTTGATATCTCTTGTATATTGAGTTCCTTCCGGTTCCCAACTAGAGACCTAAAGTCAGAAATGGCATCATGGCATTTTACACTGAGAATTTTACTACCTTCACCTACCCCCCCTTCCTTAGATCACAGATATTTTACATAGATAAAGCCAATTGAAAAGTCCGAGCTGTAATTGTGAGTACATTTTTTAAGGCTTAGGCTACCAAGTATCATTTCAATGTGTATATCGGACCCTTTTCCAATCAATCCGAGTGCTCCAACTAGAACTGGAATGATTGACGTCCTCATGTGCCACATTTTTGAGGTTTCCATTTCAAGATCCTTGTATTTTGATAGTTTTTTTTGAAAATCTTCAAAGATCCATTATTATTTATTTATTTATTTATTTATTTGCGTGTTAACATCAGATATCTGTTGATTTTCTGTGTAGAGTGACTGACAGGAAGTACTTTAAAATCTCTAGCACTTCCCTCAATACTTGCTAGCCTCCAATAACGCCGCCGTTCGGGCATTCTCTATACATCCTTGAATTTCTCATTTATTCGGCCTCGATTCTAGCGTTTTTAACACAGTTTCATGTATGCCTACTATTATGGTCACGACGATAAACTACGTCCAACACCAAGGCCTCTGAAAAGGTCCCAACTATGGGTAAATAGTTAGCCTCAAGCTGCGGTCAGAACACTATGTATGTGTAAAATGGGTTTTAATACCAGAAATACTTTGTAAAAAATTTATTACCAGTAATACATTTAAAAAAAAAGATTTTACCAACAATACGTTTTTGAAAAAAAAAATTATTGCCAGTAATACATTTTTGAAAAAAAAATATTACCAGCAATACGTTTTTGAAAAAAAAAAGACATTTCCAGCAAAACATTTTTGAAAAAAAAAAGATGTTACCAGAAATAAAAATTTTGTCGGCATTAAATAACCCATTGAGATTGAAATGCCGTCAAACAAACAAAACTAAACCAAACCAAATCAAACCAAACCAAACCAAACCAAACCAAACCAAACAATTATCGGCACGACTCTAATGCTAATTTTCTACAGTTTTCTCAGTTCCAAGATATGTTCCTGGTAGATTTCTAAAGTTTTATCTACATTCGTCTTTAGTCTGTGAATGCGTGAAGATTGCATTGCATCATCTATATGTATGTATATATATGTATGCATATCAGCCCCTGATTTTAAACATCTTTTACACAAAAACTTATGCTAGGTGCAAACATATGGTTTATTGCAAATAATATCTTAGCACAAAGAATGTTGTGCTTTTTGTTATTTGTGAACATGTGATCCATGTATTGCCTGTAAAATGCCCCTTCGGGATTCTCGATTTCATCCTATGTGTTTTTGCACGCCTCTTCAGTCACCGTCGTTAAAGCATTTGTTATCATTGTTTTTAAAGTGTCAATACCCGGAAGTGATGAACCGGACGCATTTGTCCTTGGTATAACCTCGTAAAGATGTCTGTTGAACGGTTCGTGTATGGTGTTTGAAAAGTTTGCATTCAAATACTGACGAAATACGAAATCTCCGGGTGGCATCGAAATGACTTTTTGTTGTAAACCAC